ACCCACAACAAACCAAACAGAGAACCCCACCTGTGCTTTCATTAGCAGAACTTTCAGAGTAGGAGTATTGAAAACAGAAGATGTGGTGCTGCTTTATTAGGTTTGTTTTGAAATCAAGGTATCTGACATTTTATAATCAAAGCAAGGAAATAATTGAAATAATGTAATTGAAATAGCTGTTAAAAGCCCATTAAAAATTTTATTTAGTTATGCTACCTGGATCTACTACCAGCTTAGTCTATGCTGTATTGCTCTGGTTAAGTGTTTGTAGCTGCGGAGCTCAGGTTTTTTGTATAGTTGCTGAGGTAAATTGACTGAAATTGGAATTAGGATCATGACAGCTCTGTACAACTTTATAAAATAAATGTTAATATTCACTATTGTACAAAAATTAGTACTGTAAAATTAGAAAGGTTAGAGGTTGCTTTTTCTTCTCTGATGATGTCTGAGCTCTTACAAATACAAAAAGTGCTTTTATCTGATAGTTTACTAGTGATAATTTTACTCTGATATTTTTCTATCCTTTTCTTAACCTTTGCTTGTTCCCAGCTTGTCAGGGGTTGCGTGGAGTATCTGGTGAGGTGCTTCATGGTTTTTTGGTTTTGGTTTGTGGTGGTTTTGTTTTTTTGTGGGTTTCTTGTATTTGTTTGGGTTTGTGGAAGTGATTTGTTTTATTTTCTTATTAATTTTGTTTTGTTTTGTTTTGTTTTGTTTTGTTTTGTTTTTTGTTTTTGTGATATTGTGATACTACCTAAACTGTGTTGATTCCTTCAGAAGAAATCTATTGCTCGTGTTTTGAGCTGTTACTCTGTGGAAAATTTGTCTCTTGAAGGTGTTATGATTTGGTTCCCCTGGGTAGAACTTGGAAAGCACTCTTGTGCTGTCACAACTGCCTAGATGGGCACCAGTCTGGTTTGCATCTTCAGCTACTAGAAAGCACAAAGCAGACATTGACTGATAAATGCTATCGGTCCTCTATACAGAATTGTTTCTCCAAGATGTGGTGAGACACATGGTAATGGTCTCATGGAATTAATTGTGTCTTTTAGTCTCTGAGCTCTTGAATGCTGAAAAAAGCCTATGTTAATCTTTAGAATTTGTACCATCATTTTTCATAGTCAGGTAAATTCTTAATTTCTAATCTCATCTCTTTGACTATTGCAATCAGATGTCAGTGTCTGGTTTTGACGTGGAACTGGGTTGAGTTGAAAAGATGGGGAAAAACAGAATTATATGTTAGTTGTTGATTCTTCTTTTTAATTAACTTCTATAACTGTTTTTTTTTTTATTCTTAATAGGCTTAAGTATATTGCTGTACAGTGCTGTGATTTGAGGTCCTGAAGTATTTTCACTGAGTCTTTGAATTTAATTCTTTTTTTTTATATTGCTTTCCTGTAAAGTCTTGATACTTTAAAGTGCATAAATAATGCACATTTTAAATGCATAAAATACTTCCTCTCAACACTATCTAAGAGACTTTAAATGTCACTGAATAGGTGATTAGCTACATTTCCATGTAGATAAATTCTGTGCAACCATGGACATAAAGAGCGTTAACTTTCAGAATATAAAGTGATGGAACACGCATGTTGCTAATCTTGTTCCAAAAGAGCTACTGCAGGTTTTTATTCATACCTGTTAAAAAAAAAATTCCTGCTTTCCAGTGAAGAACCATCATCAGACTGATTGTAATGTTCCATTTATTGAACTTTTAAAAGAGGACATGAGACTACAGGAGTTCATTTATTAATTGTTTTTTTTTGTTTGTTTGTTTGTTTTTTTTTTCTTTTTAGGTGGCTGGGGACATGAGAGCTTCATTTATTAGGTGTCCCATGCTGACAAACCAATGTTTTCATAGTGCAAACTGGATCTGGAATCTTCTTCTGTGTAGCATAGCCAGCCTGTAGCCTGCCACCAGCTGTAGCTTGCTCAAGGGGCAGGCTGTGGCTGTGCCAGCCATCCTGTGGCCTGCTGAATTATTTCACAGCCTGTGGCTAGAAATGGAATAATAGGATGGTTCTATGGCCTATTCAGATGTCTATTATGTGAGAAAAGATATATATTTTATAACTGACCTTGCCTGAAAGCTTCTCTTCTTCTTTTCCTGGAAAAAGCAACAAAACAACAACCACCATAAAAACACAACTTGCTTTAAACTCACCTAAGCTGTCCATTGTCAAGCTGCTCACCTACAAACACCAACAGTAGATTTTTGGGTTTATTTTTTTGTTTATTTTGTGGGTTTTGTTGTCTTTTTAAAAGCTGTTTCAGCTCTTATTTGCATTTCAGACTCATTTTTGACAGATTTGTGCAGTATTTTTCATTCATGAAAGAGCATATTTATGAGATTGGAGTACATAGGTGAGGGTGTTACATGCCCTTTATGGTGAAGGCTGTGGTTCTTGTATTTCTATTGAAGATTTCCAGAATCTCTGTAGTGTTCATGTGCTTTTTGGTCCAGGCAAAATACCTTGATGCTTTGGAAAGCAGCTCTTGGGCACAGTGTTGTGAGAGAATGTTTGGGGGAAAAAGCCCACCAGAAAACACTTTTGTCATCCAGATTTGTATGTTTTCTGACATAAAATGCATTTTAGCTGTCCTTACTACTCTCCATTTAGGATTTTCTAATATCTTTAAGCAAAATTTTATAATCATAATTTTGGAGCATGTATAATAGTTTGGCCTTTTCAACAGTCTGTAATTCAAGCATGTTGCTAACACTCTTTACGTATATTTGTATTACTATCTACTGGTGAAGCATCTGTTTTTTTATCCTCTTATATTAAGCCTCACTTATGAGACCAATAGTGTGATATTATCCCTGCAGTTTATGGATTCCATTGCCTTAAATCCTGCTCTCAAGTTTGCCTCACCAGTTCAGTGTAATCTTTCTTCTATTTGCAATTTTTTCTCTAGTTGTAGTTATATATGTTATATATTTAAATATACTAGTGCGTATTTAAATGCCCTGGAAAAGCAACTGATGCTTTATCTATTAAAAAGACCAGACAGATTTGTGCTTTTCTGAAACCAGTTTATCATGTGACTTCTTGGAGGTAGATGTGCCAAAGACTGGGATTGGATCACTTGCATTCAATGCCTCCTTGATCTATGCTCAAAATGAGGTATCACAGCAGCCCTCTCCTGAAGCTGCCACAGAGTCAGAAAGTCAGCTGTGAGTCAGTTAAATACTTGAGGCTTCTGCTGAAGCCAGCAGTAACAGCACAATTGATACCATTATTTCTCCTCACTGTGTTGTAAAAGGGATGATCAGCATTCCTGAGCTGGTGCTTCGAATGCTTCAGGCTGAGCCACAGCACTCTGAGCAGCTTACATAAGCAGCTCACATCTGAGCCAAAATTTCACTTCACTTTTTTCATCTCCTCCAGTAACAGACCCAATCTTTTAGTAAAGTCTGCTACACTAAGACCAAAGCGTAGATGTCCTGTGCATAAAGCACAGTCAGTAGGACATTCTTAAAATAACTCTATTCCTTCAAAAAATGCAGAGGTGACCCTGGGGTGGCCATTTTGGGAGGAATAAAGCACTTCACATAATAAAGCAGTTCCTAACCTTGTGCTGAGCATTTACTTCATACTGGCAGTGTATTCTGGAACAGGCTTCTGAGTGTGGCATGTTAAAACATCACAGAGTAGAAAATGCCAGGAACATTACAGTTACTTGGGCATTGTTGTCTTGTTCTCAGGCCAGCTAATCTGCCCCAAAGTATACTACAAGAATCCTCACTTGCAGATTAATCTATTTAGCATACTGACACTTTCTGAAAATCTGTCTAGAATTAGAAGAGGGAATCACAGAGCAGTTTGTATTAGAAGTACCTTCAAGATCATCTCATTCCAACCCCTCTGCTTTGGGCTGGGACACCTTCCACTAGACCAAGTTTCTCCAAGCTGTGTCCAACCTGGCCATGGATACTTGCAGGGATCCAGGGGTAGCCACAGCTTCTCTGGACACCCGTGCCAGGGCCTCCCTTCACAGGGAGGAATTTCTTCCCAATATTCCATCTAACTGTGCCCTCTGGCAGTAGGAAATCATTCCCTCTTGTCCTGTCGCTTCAGGCACTTTTCTAACCCTACCCTATCCAATTCTCTGGAAGCCCCTTTAGGTGTTGAAAGGGGGGGGGGGGTCTAAATTCTCCCCTCTAAGGCTTCCTCTTCTCAGGGCTGAACAACCCCGACTTACAAAAGGTAACTGCCTCAAACCAATCCTTAGAATTTTTTTTCTGTATTAGTGGAAATACAGGAATTTTTGTAACTTCAAGCCAGCTTTTAAATTTGGAGTTAACACAGTGAACTCTAAATACTATTTTCTTTCTATTATCAAAATTACCAAAAGTAATCTCTCTGAATTATTTTGTGTGTCTTCTGAATAGTGAATAGTTTAGAGACCCTAAATTTCGTTAAAGTTTTTCCTCATTTCCTTATTAAAAAAACTCAAACAAAAAACCCCAAAGAAATTTTAAAAACTAAATCAAAACCAATAAACTAACCAAAGTCTCCCTTTGCCCCCTTCAAATCCCCTGAATTAAAAAATAAACACAGTTCCAGTTACCCAGTTGGAAGGCATTTTGTTGTCAAGTGCCATGGGTTTATATGAGTGAGGAATCTCTGAGGATCAGCGTCTTCTCGATGGTATCTGCCCTGTTGCTGCTTTGAGGACCAGGTAATAACATAGCACAAATTAGCAGGATACTGAACTCAAAATTGTCAGAGGTAGTCAGAAGGTACCTGCTGTTGTTTTGGTACAGCAAGGACAAGCTAGGGATTCACAGGTGGCTTCTCAGCAAGTCACTGTAGATTCCTTTTCAGCTCCTGTTGCTGCCTCATCAAAGTTGGAGAAACATTATCTTATTGCAAGTTGATGAAATCTGAATCTTGCTAATTCAGAAAACCAGCTTCTTTTTACAAACTTTTGCAATTGTTTTCTTGGTGGTGGAGTTTGGGTTGGTTTTTTTTGGCCTAGGAGGAATGCTAGTTTTCGCAATGATAGGGCTGTAACTTTCATTCTTTTTCATCTTCCAGCACAATCACCATGACCAAGTCTTATTTGGCATCAAGAAGAAAAACTACTTGTAAGAGTGCACAGCACTTGAATAATGGGACTTTTAATAGTTTCAGGAAAACACTGTTATTCATATAGATATATAAAGGGCCTGTGCAACTAAAGTATTCATCAGTGTATAAAAATCTGTCCACATTCTTCCTGTGTTCCTTACAACTTCCATTTAGCCCAAGCGCTATTCCTGTAGTCTCAGCATCAATACTGGTGAAAATTACGTACAGTCAAACAGATTTCAAGGATGAATTTAATCTCCAGCTGCTTGTGCTGCTGCTTCCTTTCTGCTGGCAGGCGTTTTAATGCTTAATATATACCTTGATCATCTACTCTGCCTTGAGAAAGTGAGTTATGTAACTGCAGTAGTCACTGTTTGTATGGAAGCTGTTCTCATAGAAGGTGTTTTGCTGGATCTCAGAAAAATAGCATTTTTAATCAGATTTATTGTAAACTTTATAGTGTAATCCAATATTTTAAAAAACCCAACCAAACAGAAACCTCCAAAGGTCATACTGCCTCTTGGGTGCTTGTAAGAAGCATAGAGTGTGTTATTAAAACTTCAGTCTAGTGAATTATAACTTTTGTAGATGAAAAAAGAATAGAAAAATTGAGAGGCTCAAAAGAGTAATTAATCAACCTCATGCACTGGAAAAACACTTGGTTTTGAAGTTAAGTGAAAGTGTGAAGGAAAAAGAATATCTGACTTTAAGATCTCAAAGATGTAGAAAATAACCAGTACTCTACACATGGGCAAAGCATCATTTTAAAACAAAAACAGTTTTCTGTGGTGTCTATACATTTTGTTTTCTGCAATAGAATATTTGGCTTTTCACATTAACATCCCATTTATTTCGAACAAAAGAGGAAATTGTGTTTGGCAAGAATCCAGAAAAATGGAGTTTCCCAATTTGTGTGTGATTTTCTCTCTGCACAGCTGTTTTTACTTGGAATTGTAAATGGCTGGTTTTCTCCCAGGTCCATTCGGGTCCAATCTGGCTAGCTCTGGACCCTAGCAGCCTTTACAAGGACAAAAACAAAAGATGGAGGCGCTCTCTTCTTGAGACCAAAGCCCTGTTTTTATTCTTAGATAGGACTCACCTTGGGATTCAGGCGAATCCCAGGAAAAGAGAACTTGGGGGTCTTCTCCCAGGAGATTTAAGCTCAGGGGAAGGGGGGCAGAGGAGTGGGGCCACAGCCAATGGGATACAAGTGAGGAAGGGGCGAGAGGAGGAGTAAACCTGGGACAAACCACTACCAGCAGGGTTTAGTTGGGGGGAAGACCATGTGATCAGTGCAGATTATCAAACATCCACTGTAAAACTAATGACTAAATAAACTATCTAGTGCCATACACATGGAATATTTCTTGTCCAAATAGGAGGTTTTACTTTGTTAGAGGAAAAAATTTGTGGAAAGTTTTTCTTTAGGTACTTGCAATGGGTATGAGTTGGAGGGAAATAACCATTTTTATGTAACATTTGATTCGCTTTATTTTTGGCGGAGGTATGTCTGGAGGTTTGTTATTCAGGTTTCATTCTGAATAAATTTTCATCTGCTACTAAGAGTGATAACTATAATTAGGGAGGTGAGGAGGATATGGCTCTAGGGGGTAGCCTTGGGAAGCCAAGGGCAGATTTCAGAGCAGTTACTCCTGGTCTTCATGTTTCATGCTGAGTTCTGAGCTCAGCAAGATCACGAATTTCTGCTCTTCAAACCCAAGTCACTGCTGAATGTGTGGAGACACAGGGTCTGCCAGCAACATCCAGCCTTCATAGATCTCTGCTGAGCTGGGCGGGGAGCAAAGTGATGGGTTACAAATTTGGCGGACTGAGTCCAGTCATGAGCAAGTTCTACTTTGCAATCTCGAGACTCTTTAAAACTACTTACTACACTTCTGCCTCAGCTTTTTATGAACTAACAAAGCAGGTTCTTTTTCCTTTCCTATCCAATTTGGTCACCCAAACCAGCTGTACCTGTGCCAGCTGAACTTTTCTGGAATGAGAGAGATTTGAGTTGTAAATAAACACAACTTCTGATGCGTGTCGCAAAAGTATGGTGTGAGGATGTACTTTCCTCCTTGTGGACATAGTTCTCCTATATTAATTTCTGGGAGTTAGCTTTTAAAAAAAAATAAATTTAGCAGTCACTTCCTTTCATTTGCTGATCATAGTGAAAAGCAAACTCTGACATTGTTTTGTTAGTAATGTTGGAGAATTCATGTGCTGGGTTAATATGTCAGCCTTTCTTACAATAAATAATACAGAATTGTACCACATCAATGAAAATAATTAAACTGTAATGTAATTAAATTTGTATCTAAGCCCTGAAACTTCCCTGTGAATGATAGCTCTTACTGGTTCAACCGTGTGGTGAAAAAGCTTGCACCAGTTTTGTACCAGATAACAGTCAAATACAGTAGGCAGAAAGTATCTCATGTTCCACCTGTGTCCAATGGTAATTTGAAATTTGGCTGAGACAAACAGTTCTTTTCAGAGAACAGAAAATGTCTCTCTTCATGCATCAGAGCATTCCTAGAAGTCTCGGCTCTGGAAACAAATGTATCTCTTTTGTGAAATATCTTGGTGCTAGGCATGTAAACGTCTGTGGTTACTTTGGCTTGCTGTATTTATTAAGATGTATTTTACTTGTTGTGGTTTAAGAATGGTATTCCTCAGTCGGAAACACTGCAAACCACGAGTTGCTTGCTCGCTCCTCTCTCCTCTTCCCCACTTTGATGATCTGGAGAGAAGAACTAGAGGCACAAAAGGCAAAGATCATGGGTTGCAATAAGAACAATTTACTGGGAACAGACAATGAACAGTAACAGCAACAATACTAATAAAAGAGTGTACGAGAAATGGTTTGCACCCGAGTTCTCACCCCCAACAATACCTGACCATTCCCTCTGCCGTGCTAACTGAGCTGGCAGGCAGCCATTTCCCAAAAAATGAGGTGAAGTGCTACAGGATAACCTCTGGATCCTGGCCATGCCCCCTCCTGGCTCCTGCAAAAATTAGACCTGTCTTGTCTAGAACCAGGACACTACATTCTTTATATCATAACTTCCTTTTTGTATCAGTTTTATAATCTATGCAAATGGCAGCCAGGTAGCCTTCCTTGAGTGGGACACTTGTCTCAAATAAGGCAAGGCTAAGATTTGAGTTAAATAGAAAAACAGACTTTTAGTATAGGCTTCTTTACTATACCCTGTAATTTATGCATATATTTCTTTATATACAATAGGTGTCAGATAATTACAGTGCAAATTTTGTAAAATCTGTGTATGTGTATTTTTGTTTTAAGGGGCTTTCTCCCTTCCCAAAAGCAGAGAGATCCATAATAAAAAATACACCTTTTTGCACCATAACAAAGCTACTTTTCTCAACAGATGAGTATGCCTTGAGAACATACCGTATTGGTGTATAAGGGTATAAAGAGTGTGTCTGCCAGTGATGATGTATATGGATGTGGCACCAAGTGATTTCAACCAGACAGAAAATTAGCACCCCATCTGAAACATGGAAGAAGAGTTTAGTAGTAAAAGTGAATTGTAGCTTTGTAAAGCAGCTCTACCTCCTAAAGCCCAAGGAAACAATAGACTTACTAAGTCTGTGTGCTTATGAGGTATTTTCAGGCATTCCTGGGAATCAGTTTTATATTTTGTCCTTTTGTAATGGATTGCCATCCATAGAGGTTGCTGTTCAATTTTTTGCAATGCCTGCTCTTGAATCAACACCTGGTATATTAAGAGTAACAAAATGCCAATAAGAGAGGCAGAACAAATGTGTCTTAATATCTTCCAACAATCTCAACAATCTATGCTAAATATGTATTTTTTACTGCCAAGCAGAAAGAACAGAAACATACTGACTAATTTTTACCAGAACAATAATCAGACATCCACCAGTAAACATGAGTGTAGGCCAGAGGAAAGCAAAGAGGAGACCTTTTTCAGGATAAAGTCTGCTTAAAATAGCGTTGGTCTGTGTTCCTCCTGGGTCATAGTAGCACGGGAAAGTCTGGTATTTTTTGAAATTGCTTGCAATTGTTTCTATTCGTGCTTTAACTTCTTTAGAGTTCTCCAACTTCTCTGGGACATATGAGCACTGAAATAAGAAATCAAGGTGATTCACTATGACAAATACTCCAATAAAAAGTTTTTACTTAAGTCAGATTGAGTGAAAAAGTAATGTTAGTACTGACAAAACCTTCTGTGGTTTGGCATCCCTGGAGATTGTCTTGGTTTCATTATGTCCATTTGCCATGTCATTCTTCCCTGTTTCCATCAGTATGTCTATGCCCCCAGTCTGCAGATTTACAGATTGGAGTTACATTGTTGGAAACCACTAACATACATGCTCAAAAACCCCTTCAGTCCTTGACACTGTCACTTCTTTATTACAGTGCCAAACTCCAGTTCCTAACAGAGCTTCTAGGCACTGTCACAGTGGGAAAGTGTTTGTTGTGCAGAAATTCACACTGGCTTGTCAGTGTGCACAAGAATGAAGTTGTTTCACTGCACACCTCTGGTTGTAACTAGTAGGAAAATACAAGCATGGATGTTGGAGGCTTCCTGCTTGTCTTTGTTAAACAAAACTATTTTGACTTGTAGTAATAATTCAGAGTTATTTAGTTTTCAGTGGAAATAGACTTTGAAGCAGTAATTTTTTGTTGGTTTTTGTTGTTGTTCATAAACTTTTTTTCCTTCAGTACTGTTTTGTGTATATAATAATGCTTGAATGTACTGGAATGGCCAAGGCAAAAGCAGGGATGGTTCCTGACCTGAAAATTTTACTTGCATTAATGCAAGTAGATAGGACATGAAGAAGTTGCCTTCTTTTGCAGTGAACAAGGCTCTTGTTTCCATCTATGGTTGGTAATTTCTGTTTGCTCCTTCATTGCATGTAGCTTTCCCTGAGACAGTCATTACAAAGACAGGCATTAGCTAGAAAAATGCTCTTCTGCTGAAGTGTTTTATGCTATTAGGTTTGCACTGTGGGAAGTTCTAATCTATATAAATGCTGTGCACTTTTAATCTGAGCATGTTTGTTGTGAATTCTGAAAGTACTTCAGTCTTGGGCATCCAAGATCTGAATTTTCAATTATTTGTTTCTTCTTTCTGTCTAAAATGTGCATAATTTTGCAATTTTCTCCTTTATTCCCTGCTTCATAATATACACCTAAAAAAACAAGTAAAACTGGGATTTGTGCTCTTACTTTGGATGGTTCTAAACTTGATGTCTCTCGTGCTAATTCAACAAGGAACTGAGCAAGCCGCAGCTTATAAACCATTTGTTACAATGGGTCTTCAACTGGAGACTTACATATTTTAAAATGTTCATAGGTGTTGTATATTCATATTGGTGTAATTCCTTTAAAAGTATTAACTTAATATTTAATGTAATATTTAAAAGAAAATTTAAAAACTGTCATTTCTGGAATGTTTTAAAATTGCCTTGGTTTAAGCCCAGACTTTAACATGTAACACATGAGTGACTCCTGCTTTTATTGTGCTGCTTGGTTTAAAAACTATCAGCCCTTCTCCTCAAAGGTGTTAGATAGTAGCAAAGAATGAGTATGCAATCTATGTTGCAAGTACCTTAGGATTTCTTTCCAATGTATCTTCAGTCTGGTAGAGCATCACTTCCTGTCCTGAGGCCGTCAGATTAACCCACACCTGTAGACAGGGATAAGGAAAGATTTCCTCATCCTCTGAGCCTTTGCTATTTGGGCAGAAAACTTTGTCCTTGATGTTGGCTTTGAGTACCTTGCACACAGTTTCTGTTGTCCAAACACTACAAAAACAAAACAAAAGGTATTCCTTTGAAGCTCATCAGAAGCATCTGTTGCAAGTTGCATGTTAAAATACATCTGTGTGTGCTGGCTTGGCTGAAGTTCATAGCTGCTTCATCCTGCTGTGATGAACTGTGCCCACCCTGAGTCTGTGGCTGCACCTGGAAAAGGGCTGCTGTAACGAATAAGTTCAGGAAAGCATTTTTGCTGGTTTTGCTGGTTTTTCTGTTGTTTTTTAGGCATTCTGTGGTTTTCAGTTAGATTCTGACCTCTCCATCTGTAACCAGCTTCATGTTATTCAAGAAAGAAATATTGCTATGGATTTTAAAATTTGGTAGAAAATACCTGCAATGCAGTGCATGTCATATCTCAGAAATATTTTGACAGATTTCATTCAATAAGCCTCAGAACTCAGATCTGTTTTCCCCACTTCTCTTTTTCTTTATTACAGGGGCCTCTTGCATAAATAAGTAGCAGGTTTTTTTCTGGAAAAAGTTAATTTTTACTCAAGAGTTACTTTTCTGTTATTGGTAACACATTAAGTTTTGCTCACAGAAGCACACTTCGGTGTCAAAGAAAGTTGAGAAACAGTCTCACTCCAGTTCATATGAAACTACTCTTGATACATGCATGCATCTTTTGTAATGTAATCTGGAGGCAGAAAAATTAATATGTGAAATACGCTGTTTTAAAGAGAATGTATTTCTAATAGTTTTGAGATTAAAGGTGCTCTATCAAGAAGAATGAGGTGGATGTCCTTGCTTTCTCTGCCATCATCTTGAAACATGAACAAGTGAGCTGCACTCCTTGTCTTGTTATTTTGATATTTTGCAAATTGATTTTATGTATGTAGGTAGAACTCGCAAAACTAAATAAAAGGGTGGGCATTCATAACTCCTTCAGTGTTCATTACGTTCTGTAGTATTTGGTGTGGCAGCGTGGGTTGTTGAAGGTGCTTGTTTCTTACGATGGTTAATTTGGAAGATACAGATTCTTGAGTGAACAATTTTACCATGACTTCTGTTGCTCAAGTTTTATTAAACAAGACTGTCTCCTGCCCATGAAAGAGCCTTTTTTAACTGTTTCTATTTATGTAAGACTTGGCTTTTCATTGTCAAGCTTTGATAAGCATGGTTGGCTTTTTGATTCTACAGCAAATGTTTTATTTAGTCTGTTTTGTTTATCCCTGAGGAGAATAATTTCCTCTTTTTTGTGCTCACTTGTGCCTGATGAATTCTTGCCACACTTTTTTCCTCTTCTGTTTTAAATCCTTTTGAGCTCTTTGAGAGCACTTTGTCTATTGTACAATGTACTTATGTATATTTTATCACTGTTTTAATTATTGTATATGATGCTAATAGCTTTGTTTCATAAACAAATGGCTCTTATTACCTCTTAGTGTAAAATGGTACAATGGTGATCCCAATAAAAAAGTACATCATCATGGAGCATGCAACCATTCCCAGTCCCAGGCAGAGGGCTCTTGTCTCCCCTCGTTTTTGTGCAGTCACCAACTTCTTTCCCAGCATGATTTAGTGTTGTGAAACTTGAACAACCTCTCTGTGGTGTAAAATAGAATACAGAAAAGAAAGGTAAAATATGACAGTTATTGTAGTTATGTAACAAGTTTCTGAAATATAATCAGTGGCAGAACAGCCCCATTTTTGCAAAAACTAGAACTCAAAAAAATCCAACCAAACTTGCTGTGTTTTTTGTTATCATTAGACTCTTCTTTTACTTTTTAAATTTATTGTGTAGTACCTTAAGAAGTGTGCGTGTGTGTGTGTAAGCCAGGAGACTAGGTAGGAAAACCTGATAACTTCTGGGGAGAATTCTGTTAACATTCCAATTGTCCTCAGACCTAATTCAGTCTGTTTTATGTTGCTGCTTCTCTGAAGTTAGAGTTAGGCTAAAGGCTGCATGAAGGGAAACCTTCCCAGAGTAGAAACCTTTTTACAGTATGCCTTTTCTTCTGGAGTAGTTTGAAATGGTGTTGTCTTATTTCAAAAGAACTGAAATAATTAAAAATTTAGCATTTGAGATTTCTGACTTCTGCATGTTTGCTTGGCTTTGTCAATTCAGAAGTGCTCCAAATCTGCTGTCCAAGGAGTGTTGGTGTAACTATGGGGAACTAACTCCTGGCCAGAGTTGTCTGATCCTGAGCTCGGAACTGACTGGCATTAGCTCCTCCACTACTTTGACAAAAAGCATTTTAAATGATCCACCATTAACAACCCATAATGTTTCATTGAAGAGAACCTGAAAATTATTGCCATGAATCCATATGCCATTGAATAATTAGGAGTGATGTATAGATTTCTATAGAAATAGTCCAGAACTTTCACTGCAAGTTCACCCATCTCCAGTATCTGCTGCTCTGACAGCTGTGATTGCTGGTGTGTGGGGTTTTGTTTTTTCATGAGAACATGGCAAAAGCTGTTTTTATGGAAATGACAAGACTGCCAAGATTTGTGTGGGGTTTTTGGAGATAAGTGAGGAAAGCAGAGCAAAAGGAGAAAAAAAAAGACATGCATGCCAAATTAGTTTTTCTTTCTGTTGTGCACAGCCTTAGGCAGTGCTTTTTCAGGATTTTAGCTTCAGGTGTGTGCAACTTTTTAGTGTTCATCCTTACTGGCTGGCCTTCAGGATGGCACAGCTCCTGCGAAAATCCGCCTGTGTTCAGACTTAGATTTATATACAGTGTAAGATAAGTACAAACCAAAGTTGGCAAATAGGCTTTTCAGGTTATCTGTGAGCATATGTTCTCCAGCTGCTACAGGCTGGCAGAGCTGTGGTAACTGCAAGTAGGGGACCATGCTGAATTTGGTGAAAGATGAGATAGCCCTCAAAGCTATGAGCATCAGCTCTTAAAGGGATGAATGGAAATATATTCTGAATGTTCTTTCCTTTCCTGCTATTTCTGGTTTTTCCTGGTAAAAGTGCCTCACTTTGACTGTTTAATGACCAAAGGAAAAAGATATTTGAAAATTAACATCTTGCTATTTTTAGACTGCTATAACACCTGAATGTTAGTTCTCTTAGCAATTAAAAAAAAAAAAAAAATCTGTGAACAGTAAAACACCTTTGGTCATTTAACAGAACTTGTGGCTAGTTGCAGATTTTAAGAATATATTTTGAAGTTGGTAGTATTTGATACCAAAGTGGAAGGCTGTTTTTAGGTGTTCCTAGAAACTGAGTTATTTTTAGAATACTGAATTGTGTCCACTTTCATATTTAAGTCCATTTTAAATAAAACATCCACATCCACTGTGAATTTTGCATACAGCATTTTGAAAGGAGTTGTTTTTCTGATCATCACATATAATTCACTGGCACTATAAGAAGTATCTCAATTTGAAAATTGCCATAGATGATCTTTCCTTGTTTACTGTCGTTTGAGTTTAATACAGAAGTTGAACTAATGCCCTTAAGTAAGGTTGTACTGTGTTTTGCTTGGTTAGTGGGGCTATAGGTAGAACATCTGGTATCAAATGCTCCCAGCAGACTTGTGCTGCGCCTGCATATTCACATGTAAATATGTGGAGAGGTGTGTGCAGCAAGGAAACTTGCACAGTAAGTGTCAGTGACTGTTCCTTAAAAGCTGCCATCATTTGTTTTAGTTTGGAAAATGGGAAATAAAAAACTTAAGGAATTCCAAAGTACTTAAAATATCAGAATACTGTGCAACACAGTACCTTAATACCAATTGTTATTAAACTGGCTCTCCTTTACATAATGTGCAGCTTGGTCAGAGGGAAGTGGAATAAGGGAACATTATCAGGCCTGGAGCACAGGCCCTGAGACCAAATGGTACTGAAGTAGCAGGTCCTTATGCCATGGTGGGGAGATAATGATAGATCAGTGAAAACTTGTGTAATTAATTAGAAATTCTTACATACAGTAATAATGATTAATCTTTAATTTTCTGTGAGAAATTGAAAAAAATGAAAGGCTGGTACTGCCACTGTGACTTGTGGAAAACTTATAGTGTCCTAGAGCTGTTAACGTATTGAATTTTGATAAACCATAATATTTATGGAGCTGTCCCATTTACATTGAGAAACAATGGGTGAATCAACCCCCTTGTTACATGGAAAACAAGAACTGTGGGACTATTAACCGAAGAATTAATAAGAAATCTAATTGCTTCAAAAGTCTGCTTGAATGCCAGCCACATATGCAGTGGATGTACCACTAAACTCCTCCTCCTAATAATCTAAAACTAGCAGACCATCTCTTTAAGACACAAAAGGAACTTGTATGTGTTAATAGGAAATTTTTCTTAAGTGGCCCAGAGGTTAAATGCAGCGTTGTTCCTCATCCTTACACCAGACAGACTGCCTAACCCTGGCTCTCTGCAAGGGCTGCTAAGTGATGCTGTTTGCCTATGTTCACCCAGTTCAGATAACTGCTTCACCCCAAAGGGAATAAGGACATGTACATTATGCAGAGAATATTAACAAGGAAGATTAATCTAAAAATAAGCATAAAAAATAACCAGCTAGGTCTTCAGGCAATGTAAAACAGGGGTGCTTACATAATTGTTGTGTTGCTGTTGTAAATGTGGTCCCTAAAATGGAAATACACATTTTCTGGTGCATTTTTTTCTGCTTTCAAATGTAGAAGACCAGAAAAAACATGTAACACTATTTCATGCATGTACAGAAGAATTTAAGAGGAAACACAGGGCTGCAAAAGAAACCCATATGCTTTTTTTTTTCTTTCTTACATAAACATTCCTACGTACTACTGCTGAAAATACTTAATTTTCTGGCTCTCAAGACAAAGCAAAGTTGCATACATACAGAAAACCACATTTCCTTGGAATTTATTCATTGTTTTAATGGTTAATTTATTTTCTGATTACAAGTATCTTGTCTCCTTGCTCTGTCTATGTATATTAGAAGGAGCATTGAAATAGCTGGTTTAGTGTTTCCTCTGATGAAACCATTAAATCTTTTTAAATTAAACACTGCAGAAAAATTGATTTACCCAGGAACTCTGAGTAAAATTGAACTGGAAGATGTTGAAGTGTAGAAAGCAAGGCTTAGTCCAGCCTTCAAGAGAAAATGTAAATGTATTTTTGTACTGCAGATTTTATGTGGTGGTTCCATACCTATTAGGAATGTATAATCTGCAAATGTTTTGATAATGTTCCCTCTGCCTAATCTTCTTCAATCCAGTTAAATTATACAGTTCATTAGCTATGCATTTTCAATGTATAATAATTGCATTCATAGGTGCTAGTGATGATCTTAGGGATGCCATCCGCTCAGGTTTTGAATAGTCCCCTATTTTAATTAGAAAAATATTTGATGCTTGGCAGGAAATCTCCACCTCCTCCTCCTCTCTCATCTTTTGAGGAGTTTCCAGTGGTGTGACCTCAGATGGGACCTCTCTCTCAAGCTATTAACCTGCTCTTAATTTTGGTAAGGTATGAGTAGCACTGATGAATTCACCTCACTTGCAGAAGAAAGGCTGCTAAATCCCTCTACTGAATTTAAATTGGGAATCAATATTAACAGTGAGATAGTGTTGTGGTTTTTTGGTTTGGTTTTTCTTTGAGCTGATTTATCCCATACTATATGGTGAATCTTTAGTGAATATTTATGTATTGCTTTCAGATGAACATTATGTTCTAATACAGCATCATACCAAGAAGAGTGATGGAAGTCATCTACATCTCTACAGTGATGAGGACTTTTTAAACAGGCCTGTACCTGTTGGCCTGTATTGCTTCTGCATGCAAAACAGCCATTTGTTTTCCCTGTCAAATGCAAACTTAAGCCACCTTGTTTTATTCTCAAAACATCTTGTATAGACGAAATAAAAATTGCCAGCTTTGCTGGATTTGTAAGAGGAGCACAGTACTTAGGGACAGTTTACTGGCCCAAATGTTTTTTGTGAGAACCAGTAGGCAAAAGTTTTAGATTTATAAATATGAGCTCTGTACTGGTTATGTTACTGGAACAGCACTCATATTTACATACTTAGGACTCTCTCTAGATAGAGTTAGTTTGATCATTGGCACTTGCTTATCTGTGTTTCCATGGGTACTTCAACACTGCTTGATTCTTCCTTCCTGTTTCAATCCTACGCTCATCATTTTTTCATCTCCACCACTTACAACAGGCTGTAGTCAAAACTGCATTTCTGTTAGCACTTTCTTTCCCTTTCCCCAGTCTCTAGCAGTTACAGGCATTTCTTGCTGGTAGTGGGGAAGTGCTGTGAATGGGGAACACCAATTTTTTCATTACTTAATAAGCTTTCTGTGTGTCTGGGACCACAAATACTGTATGTTACAGAATGAGGTGATGCTGAGCCTCAATGAAAAAGTGCACAGAAAAGTATCTCATGTAGTTGTGTTGGAAATCCAAAACAGCAATATTTTGTCTGTGTAACATGATACAATGTTTATTTTATGAAATATGCTGTATAATTTTGCTTTATTACTGAACTGTTTACCAGATGTGCCACTAGAGTGAATTAAAGAAGTTGGATTTTTAATTGTCTAAAAACATATGCAGTTGTCTAGGACTAATTCTATTAGCTTTTAAACTTTTTTTTTTCTTAAAAAAAGAAAAAAGAAGACAGAAGTTACTTGCTTAGTTCAGCTGTTCTGAAATCTTTCTGGAGTACTTGAATACTTTTTCCTTTCATTCTGTGCTGTAGAGGGCTGCACAGAAGGAACCAGTTTAAGACCAGATTTTTGAGACGCCTTCAAGAGTTCATGTGCCTGGTTTCTCTCTAACTTAGGGGTAGGTAAGCACAACCTCCAGAGTAATGCTGAAAACCCAAAGCCATGAAACTTCTAAGAGCAAAAGTGCATTTACCATTAAAATGAATAAGAACTACGGTCTTATATGAGCTACAGGCTCTTAATTTATGAAAATATTATTGTTACCTTTGCTAACAGTTGTGAAGAATGATCAGATTGCATCCAGTTACAAAAAAAGATAACTAAGTCTGCATGCTACAGAAAAGCTATCTGCCCTGTCCTCCATACTGCTGCAGATACAAAAAGCCTTTTGCTTCCCAAAACACTGTACTTTTAAAAACACAAAGCTATCATATGCTCTCAAGGAAAAAGAGTTGTTTAGAAATATACTTACAGTTTTTGATTAAATGCTGCTTTCTCTGATGAAAAAAGTCTGTTACATGACAGACTTTTTTTTTTTTTTTCCTTTCCTGTACGTCGCTGGGTTTGCTTTGCTGTGGCTGAACTCCTAACTTAATTCCCCTCTTACAAACCTTTTGTAACCATAAATGGTAAGGTATGAAAAGCACTGTCCTTTTGGAAATTAATTGCTGGAAACCAGGAAGTCACAATACTAAGACTGAGCTTTCTTATATGCTAGAGCTCCTTTACAATGCATTCTGGTGGATTTGTGTTAAACTATGGGCCTACTCCATTTGTACAACTCTTCTAGTTTAGAAATCTGACAGATCTTTCGGGTAAGATTTAAGGAATTGAACTGTATTGATGACTAGTGGTATTGATTCTTAATAACCTGAGCCATTACCAGCTGTGTGGGAATGCTTTATTGCCACTATTTTCAGTGAGTTTGGATGCAACAGGTACTACAATTCTGATTGTATATCAGAGCCTTATAGATAAGAACATCCATCATGCCATAGGTGCATTAGTGTCTAGTCTAGTCATGTTCCTCTAGCCAAAAAGCCAAGCCTATTTCTGGGACATATAAACAGATAACTCCTAGCACAGAGCTTCAGAAAAGAGATTTTTTTTTTTTTGAAACTCTGTTACTGGGAGTCTAAAGGAATTTAAACGAGTTAATCTAGTAGAATCATTAGGAGAGAACTGCAAGGAAGGGTAGGGTATTTGCCCCTCCTTTCCCACTGTAGGTATATCATAATTAGCTGTTTCAGTTTAAGCTGTTCTTCTAAACTTGCTTTGATAAAATATTTGAAGTTGACAAGCTCAGAATGTTCATGCTGTCTAAAGATAACTGATTAATCTCCTTCAGTATTATTACAGATGCAGAAGAGAGCACACAAAGCTAACCTGGATTTAGATAACTGTCTAATAGAAATTTACAGCTAAATTAGAGGAAGTCTGCTACTATCATCTAGATTGGAAAGACTTATGATCATAGTAATTTATAATACTTGAGAAGTAATGTAGATAAATTTTAAAAATGACATTTGAAGTTAGGAAAAAAGAGTCATATGAATAAAACTTATTTCTGGATAAAACATGATCTGGTTGAATGGAGTTTTTATAATTTTTAATGCTTAGTAATCAAGACTGGATATTTCAAGGTGGCAGTCTCTGCTGGCTCAAGGAATAGTCAGGCTTTTAATGAGGAATTCATTGTAAGTGATTTTTGGGTTCTGTGATTCAGAGTCCAAAGTAAAATATAAGGTAAGCTGTGCTGAATGAAATTCATGAGTCTTCAAAGTCAAGGTTTGTCCTCTGTCTCCTCTCCATGTACACCTTAACCCCAATGGCCAAAATAGATTTCATTTCAGTGATAGTTTCCCTAAGTGTTTAAAAATGAGCAATGCCTCAACTTGGAAAATCTTGCCATATCTGTAAATTACTGAAGTAGCTGCACTCAAAATTGCCAGCCTCCAGAACTGCAAGTAGCTATCTGAAAAATTAAAGGGAAATAAGATATATTTCTGGGGATTTATTTTCCCTGTAGAGTGATAACATAAGAAAAATCATGTGAAAGAAGGTACATGGCTCTGAAAGAGACATTGTGTAAAACGTAAGCATACAAGGATTGTAGCTTTTGCTTTGTAAACAAAAGTATAAGGAGACTATAAACATTTCAACAGTGGCACGGAACAGGTGCTTCTGGTGTTTATTTGATGTACTGCTCTGCAGTGAGTACTCGCTGTTGTCCTTTGGGCACCATCTGTATCTCAGAGAGCTTTGTTCCAGCCCCTTCTGCTCCTCATGGCTGGCTATTGCAGGGGCATATTCATCCAGAGGGTGTTTAACCCTCCCAAGGAATCCATCTGACTTTGATGGGATGCTGAAATTTCAAGAAAGTCTGGTTTGACCCCACATGCTACTGAACAATTTTTTCTTGTGATGTCACAAAATCAAACTTACTCAGTGTTTGCAGGTGACCTGTTCAACATTAGGCTGCCCTGTGTAACAGGGGGTTCTTGTTGGAAATCTGAGTCAGATTATATAAATAATGTCTGCAGTCAAACAGAGGTTATGTTTTTCAAATTCTGAACTCCTTTTTGACTCTAATGTAAAAAACAGTTAGAAGGGGGGGAAAGGGAAAAAAAATAAAGAAGCTGTATCTTTCAGTTGCTCAGAACTCCTTATTCAGTTCTTTTAAGTTGATCATCCATAAGGGTTGTTTTCACATTAGGGCATAAGAAAAATTCACTGGCTATAAGATAAAGACAATGTAATAAATATTGTCATTTTATTTCCAGGACTCTCTAATGCTTTTAAAGAATCACTGAGCTGTGAAATGAGCACAGTTGTTTGTGTCTTCAGAGAACCCTGCAAAGTGATTAGCATCCCCTTCCTAACTGAAACATATTCATAGTGTAGTACATTGTCATATTTAATGGCCTTCACAAAAAGAAGCTGTGGCTCTTGAACAAAGAACAGTCACATACTGAAAATTATACAAGTCAAGAGCTCAAGGTGCTAAATGTTGGCATGCCTATATCAAACACAGGCAAATTTGAGGACTGACTGCTTCCTTTAAAGTAGCTACATTAACAAACTGTCTGCTGGATTTGCTGTTAACTCACCAATTGCATGAGGGTTGAGAGTGTCCTCAGAACATTTTACACAGATACTTTACCATGAATTTTGAATGGTTTGTTTAGCTTCCAACTTCACAGCATGGTGGTTGTGAAGTTGTGATGACTCCCTGAGTGGAAAGTAGTGGAAGACTGTTCTGTGGTGAGCCTCCCCTAGACATGTCATACCTGCAGTAAAGCAAAATTGCTGTTATTCCTCTTCGAAGTCACTGAGAACTCTATAATTACTGTGTCTTGAGACTGAAGTTAAAGAGGATTCTTAACTGTTTGCTGCATCCAACTGTCTGTGGGCACACACTGCTGTCAGAGAAAAGCGGCATGATTTTCACTCAGACAGTAAGTGCATATGTGCTTTCTCAGTCTGGATCTTGTATGTATAATCAGTTCTTAATAACGTTACTGCAGGTACAGCAGCCCTCAATGTTTTTTAAAAAAAATCTAACCACTATCACGAAAAAACCCAACTCACAAAACTCATAAAACCAAACAAACTCACAACACAAAGTGAACTTAGAACTGTGGATTTAGAAGTATTACACAATATTATTCTTTATCCTTGCTTTATTAGATGGGCACAAGGCAATAACTCCTTTGCCTAGCAAGGGAGAGGCGATGAGTTGTGGGAAACGACACTCATTTTAAAAATTTCAAAGGTTTATTAAACCTTAACAAAATACAACAAAAGACTGAATAAGGAAAAATTTACAGCGCTGAGACCATGGAATTAAACCATCATGTGCTCATCTACAACATCGATGCTCCCTGTTTTGTACCCTGGCCCTTCCCAAAGTCTTGTCAGTCAACTCCTTCTCTTCCATCCATTGGTGGAGATCACTTTCTTGCAACTTCATTGGAGGCCAGGTGTTGCCATACTGCACCTCCTAGTAACAAGCCTGCCCTCTCCCCCAATGCCCCGGCTACCAAGGCCATCCAGTGACAACAATACAAAGAGAAGGGAAAGAGGACTGTGGGGACAACACATCACAATAACATAACTATACATCTATAAAACTTCTCTCAACATACACATAATATTCGTCCCTTAATTGTGAGAGCCAATCACATTACTCATCTATAACCCAGTTGACTGGCTTTGGAGAGTTTTTGCCCTGTTGTCTGCCCAGTTTGTAGTCAGAAGTACAGTACAGAAGGGAGGCATAGGGATTGCACAAAGAGCATGTCCTCTTTCTTTTATCTGCCACTGTGACTTGTGCTATCTCACTGTTACATGCTGAGCTATATCGATAGCAGCAGGCAAACCTGAATAGCAAATTTTCAGCATAGTAAGAAATTTGGGTTGTCTGATTTTGTCTGAAGGTATATCTCAGTTGTGTAATATGTATTGTTGGAAACAATATAACTTTTAAATTTTTATTTTGTCTCTCCAGTTAGGCTTGAGTTGACTTTGCCTTGGGGAAAGGAATTTTCTTTAGTTGTTTCAAGAGATGTAGAATCACTCTAAGGAGATGAGCTTAACATACCGACAGACTGGAATTATCCCAAAGTTACCCAGAAAGATAAAAGGTCATAAATGGAACATGAATGGAACATCAGAGACTGTCTACAAATATCTACTCATAGATGCCTCCTCTGGAAGAATTAGAGACATCTGGTCTGGAAAAAACTAATAAGAAAATCGAAGAATGAAGACCTAATTAACATCAGAGGTGAGGAGATTTGAATCTAATGGGAAACTGAATACTGGGGTTGCTCAACTCTGGACCAATGAACTTTGAAACAGTGCACCTCTATGGGTTTTGACTGTAAAAAGTTTGGGGGGAAATCCTGCAAAAAAATGTGTGCTTGAAATATTTGCCTTGGCACATCCTGGCCAGAAAATAAACTAATGCCTGATTCTCTATAATTTCAAATAGAGTGCTAGAGGGTTTTATTTTCTCCCTGATTTTTGGTGACAGTAGTGTTCAACAGTTCAGGAATTAGCATTTGTGTCTATAACAGTGGTCCATTGACCCAGATCCTCTCAAAACATAGCACTGAGTTCACTCTTTGAATGCTTTTGACTCCTCAGCTCATCAGAGAGGTAACAGTCTTGTAATTCCCTCCCAGATCTGCTGCTGCAGTTCCTAGATGTGTTGTGGCTCTTAATAGAGTTGTCAAGGAATAAAAGTAGCTCTGAGCATTTTTTCTCTATCAGTTTTTGGTTGAGAAGTTCAAGTCTGGTAGAATACATACCATTCCTCTTCCATGCTCTACGTTATGATCAAAATTTAATATGGGAAATGTAGATTAATTTGTCATTAGCTGTCACCTACATATGTTGCTCTAGGTCCGGTGGACATTCATCTTCTAATTGCAACTTGTTTTGTTGTTCAGCTCAATTGTTTCTGCTGTTTTCAATAAAACAAATCTGCTGAAAGCAAATTGTATCCTCATTAGGACTAATTAATAATTGCCTTCTTTTAAAATAACTTCATGTGAGGCTTTCCATAGAACAAT